TTTAATTGTTTTTAAAATCGCATCCCGAGATAATATTTCAATAATCATGTGACAAACATCAACATGATAAAGGGTTGAAGTATATTTATGCTAAAATGTATTTAAAACATTGTCAACTTTTTTATAGGTAAGCTTAGTCATATTTTTGTTCCGGTTGCAATATTATATGCCGGGATAATTTATCAGTCCGGAAATGAAGGCATATCGGAAGCGGTAGTTGAGTTTTAAATAAAACACCAATGCGGCTTCAAAAAAAAAAGAACCCATCCGTAAGATTATTTGATTCTCTTTATTTTAATTATTAAATGTCCAGTATTAGTTAAGAAGGTAATAGAATTCTACATAAATACAAATATAGATTTAAATTAACAATTTTCTTTTATCAATAAAGTATAATTTTCTCTTTATTTGCGACCTCAAATCTAAAAGGTAAAAGGCCATGCTTAGTGATTACTAATGCAGTCCTGAGGGTAGTTTTATCGTACTAACTCTAGGTCTCTCTTTGTGATCAATTAAACCATTGTTACTAACGGCTAAAGAATCTATTACTGGCTATAGATTGCTAGTAATTAGAGGTTCAAAACTGCCAAGTTCCGATCTAATACAAACGGGTAGGGTAGTTTCTAAAATATTAAAGGGGTGCGACATTACAAACGACTTTGGGGCTTTGATGGTGGACAGAACAATGAAACTACTCGAAAATGAAGCGGGGGTTGCTGATTGCATTTTGAAAGCTCCATTCAAAAGCTGGATAGAGAACGTTGGATGTGCAAACATTACAAAATTTCTTTGGCAATTTAACCCACGTGCTATAAACAAACATATTTAGACTACTTATAAATAAAAAAAACTTGAATGATCTGAACCTGAATCTTATAATTTTCCGGGGAAAATACGAACGACACTACACTCGACAAAATCGGTTTAGCTGTTTAGGCTTCAGAAGGTCATTAACCTCTATTTAGTCGCGTAAAAAAATGTATGTAATTTATTTACTACCAACTTATTCAAGCTTATTCTTGTTACAAATACGTATACATTTTTGGACATTATTAATAAGTGTCCTTTGGTGAGAACGGCGCGCATTCGTTACCAAGTCAAAGTCAGAATGATTACTGAGTTTGTGTCCTACAAACGTCGACACTAGTAAGGCTATTATTGCGCCAGTACGCCGGAATAATGTCAGATTTTCTACCTAACAACATATACATGGTCTTAAGAACAAAGTATCAATTTAGTATTTAACAGTGGTAGAGCCCGCTTTAACATCATCGCACGAATTGGCCCGGCTCGCCCGGTGAAATATCACGACCACACAGAAGACAGGCGTGAAGTGGAGGCAATTCCGCGTTTCGTCTGATGAGTGTGCGTCCCGGAGGCCTAATTTAGTCCTCTTCCCACCATTTTCCTTATAAGGAAAGGATGTGAAGTGAAAGAGGACTTTCCGGAAGGGAAAATATTTTCTCTCTGTGCATCCTCTCCTCGGTCGATTAAAGGTAGGCAACGCATATGAAATTGCGTATGTCTATAGGCAACGGTCACTTCGCTATTTCAGCGATTTCAGGTGGCCGCTCACTCGTTTGCCACCTTATGATATAAAAAAAATAGTATTTCAATGATTCATTTGTGCTATTAAAATATAAATAGAAGTACATAAACAATATGTTAGTAACTAATTCCAACAGCATTGTAACAACTCTTTATTTATAACTGAGATAAACAAGTCCCGTTCCAGCACACACTCTCCCATTTTATCAACACTTCCAAGAGATAAGCACAATAATTTTGTACTCCGACAGAAATCGCCCGCAATTAAAACTGGATCATATTTCTGGAACATTAAAGTATAAAATCAATCATTGGAAGATTTTCCAATTTTGGTAATTGCTACGAAATTCAAAGGCGAAATTATAAAATTATACTTTACCAATTTCTCTT